GGTAAACATTGTATTTTCATGCCATTGGCACAGTGAAAGGCAAGGTGACCACCAGAGCACCTGATGGAGGAAATGTATGACAAAGCCAGGACAGATGGAAAATGATTACAAGTTAAGAATTTCCCAATAAGATTAGCCTTATCTGGGACCATTCTACTCTAAACATCCATCAATACTTGACCTTACCCCCATCCCAAGTCTTCTTGTCTGTCTTGTTTAACTATACATCACCTCTTTTTCTACCCAGAACGCAAGACAAATGTGATGAAATGTTTGTTGTTTGTCCTTGAGAGCAGGCTGGAAAAAGGTGTAAGGAAGAATATATTTGAGGAAGAGGTGGAAGATAAAAATGAGAATTAACTATTCGACCAGTTGAGGGAGGCTAAAGGTACACGTTGGTTGTTCAAACATAAAACCAAAAACCTCCAAATTCTGCCCATTGTACATTCCTCAAAGGATGGAGAATTCAGTGAGTAAATTCATTTGAATAAAGGCAAAAATTTCTAAGTAACAATAGTAATAACATTGTTTATAATCATGCTAAATATAGTGAGGTGTGACTGTTCTAAGGTAGCAAAAGGAAAGTTTCAAAACAATGGCTTTGGAATACATTCAGAAAGACCTGAGGACTAAAATAAAGAAGCTAAGATTTATCCAGCAGAAAATGGAAAGAAATCAGAGACTTTTAAGAGTGGTTGTCATGTGGCAATACTTTTCTCTGAAATAAATAGACATTCGGATCAAAGAAAGGCATTATATTGTGCACTATATATTGAGTCCTACGGTAACAATGCAATGGTGTACACATGCAATGAGCAGTCTTAGAAACAAGATAATGATGGCGATGGAAAGAAGTACTTTATTCATTCATTTTTTTCTCATTTTTTAAAATTATAAATCCACAAAGAAGGAAATTAAGGAAAAAGAAAAAAAGCAAGGATCAAATAAAAAGTCACTTGTTAACACTGGGTATCTACTGGTCTATTTCTTCTCAATCTAACAAAAGAGGTTTCCAGGAGCTCGCCAGCCAGCACAGAAGCATTTAATCAATATGCAAGATGGACTGAGTTCAAATGCTGATGCTGAGAGGAGTGCTGCTAGTACAAAGATGGCAAATAAGCAAGAGATGGAGTACTGAAGAACAGGCAGAAAATGAAGAGGTGGAACGGACTGGCCCCCTTACCAGGAATAGCAGAAATTTAGTTCAACAGACCCCTATCTTGACCACCAAATCAAAGTAGAGAAGCTACAGAAGAACCGTAATATCGGTCCAAAGTCAGTACACAGAGGTGAAGGGAGCCCTGCAACAAGGAGTACCATACAACTGAGACATCTGTCAACAGCATGTGTGCATGCAGTTCAAAGCTTGAGATCAAAAAGAAGAATTTTAACAAAAGAAAACAAGTATTAGAGTAAAAGGTATAGCACTGACTGTTATTGTCTAAGTGAATTTTAGAAGAAGATATCAGAAGATGGAAAGATCTCCCATGCTCATGGCTTGGTAGGATTAACATAGAAAAAAATGGCCATCTTACCAAAACCAATCTACAGATTCAATGCAATTCCCATCAAATTACCAACACAATTCTTTACAGACTTTGAAAGAAAAAATTTTCAACTTCATATGGAATGAAAAAAAACCCAGAATCTCTAAAACAATCCTCTACAAAAAATATCTTCTGGAGGTATCTCCATCCCTGATCTCAAGCTGTACTATACAGGAACAGTAATAAAAACTGCATGGTACTGGCATAGAAACAGAATGGTGGATCAATGGCATCGAATAGAAGACCGAGAAATAAAACCACTTATGGACACCTGATTTTTGACAAAGATATCAAAACCATACAAAGGAAAAAGGATAGCATCTTCAACAAATGGTGCTGGTCTAACTGGATGTCCACATGCAGAAAAATGCAAATAGATCCATACTTATCACCCTGCACAAAACTAAAGTCCAAGTGGATCAAAGACCTCAACATAAAACCAGACACATTAAATCGGCTAGAACAAAAAAAGTGGGGAATACCCTAGAACTCATTGGCACAAGAGACAACTTCCTGAGCAGAACACCAACAGCACAGTCTCTAAGATCAACAATTAATAAATAAATGGGACCTCATGAAACTGAAAAGCTTCTGTAAAGCAAAGGACACTGTCATCAGCACAAAACAAAAGTCTAGAGATTAGGTAAGGAGATCTCCACCAACCCTATATTTGAGAGAGGGCTAAGAGCCAGAAAATATAAAGAACTCAAGAAGTTAAACAGCAACAAACAAGTAACCCAATTTAAAAAGGGGGAACAGAACTAAGTAGAGAATTCTCAATAGAGGAATACCGAATGGCAGAGAAACAAGTAAAGAAATGCTCAACGTCCTTAGTCACCAGGCAGATGCAAATCAAAACGACCCTGAGATTTCATCTTACACCTTCACAATGCCTAAGATCAAAAACACAAGTGACAACACATGCTGGAGAGGATGTAGAGAAAGGAGATCCCTCCTCCATTGCCAGTGGGAATGTAACCTTGTACAAGTACTTTGGAAATCAATCTGGCGCTTTCTCAGACAATAGGTATAGTGCTAACTCAAGATCCAATTATACCACTCCTAGGCATATATCCAAAATATGCTCAAATACAAAACAATGACATTTGTTCAACCTTGTTCATATCAGCTATATTCGTAATAACCAGAACCTGGAAACAACACAAATGTCCCTCAATTGAGGAATGGATAGAGAAATTGTGGTACGTTTACACAATGGAAGACTACTCAGCAACTAAAAACAAGGAAATCATGAAATTTGCAGGCAAATGGGGAGAACTAGAAAAAAGAATCCTGAGTGAGGCATCCTAAAAGCAGAAATGCACACATGGTATATACTCATTTATACCATGGATATTAGACATATAATATAGGGTGATCATACTAAAGTTTGTACACCTGCGAGAACCTAAACAAGAAGGAGGACCCTGGGAAAGATGCTCAATCTTCATTCAGAAAGGCAAATGTGATAGACACTAGAAGAAGTTGAAAACAAGGAACAAGACAGAAGCCTACCACAGAGGGCCTCTGAAAGACTCTACCCAACAGGGTTTTAAAGCAGATGCTGAGACTCATAGCCAAACTTTGGGCAGAGTGCAGGGAATCTTATGAAAGAAGGGAGAGATAGAAAGACCTGGAAGGTTCTGGAGCTCCAAAAGAAGAACAACAGAACCAAAAATATATAGGCCTACTTGTCTTTTCTGAGACTGATATTCCAACCAAGGACCATGCATGGAGATAACCAGAACCCTTGCACAGAGGTAGACCATGGCAGCTCAGTCTCTACATAGGCTCCCTAGTAAGGAGGATAGGTGCTGTCTCTGACATGAACTCAGTGACTGGCTCTTTGATCACCTCCTCCTGAGGGCGGAGCAGCCCTACTAGGCCACAGAGGAAGACTATGAAAGACAGTCCTTATGAGACCTCATAGGCTTGGGTCAGATGGAAGGGGAGGAGTAATTCCCCTATCAGTGGACTGGAGAAGGGGCATAGGAGGGGATGAGGGAAGGTGGGAGGGCAGGATTGAGAGGGGACGAGGGTGGGGCAATAGTTGGGATACAAAGTGAATATATTGTAATAAATAAAAATTTATACAAAAAAGTTACTAAAAGAAAAAAATATTTGGCTGTTAGAGTTCCTTATATGAAAATTAGTAGTATTAATATTCTAGAATAGGTTTTACTACAGCAACTTGTAAAAAAATGTTCATAATGATAGTTTATTCATGCCTTGGAATGGTGAAAAAATGTATTTATTTCCTATATCTATTTTTAAAGTAGCCTGCCACCATTTTGGCAAAGTAATTCAAACAATATACTACTCTCAATATTAAGAGGCCTGATTTTATGCATAGTCAGTCATATTGCCAATTAAATAGTCAAACTGATTTATCATCCAAATAGACCCAGGGTTCTGCCTAGAAAGCTGCATAGAATTTTCTCTTACTTTGTGGTTAAAAAAAATCAATTTTGTAAACCATAGCTGTTGTAAATGGGATTGGAGGGATTGAGAAACATCCCCTAAGAAAAACAGCTTGTAGCATTTAAAGAATACATAAGAATACAGTGAATAATGTGGTCCTGAAAAAATATTATTCCATTAATTCTGGCAGCATTACAACTAGAAAGAATTGTTGAAGAAAAACCATCTGTTAATATGAATCAAAAGCCACAAAAATATTTATATCCTTGAATCTGATCATTATACTCCTGGAAAATTTATCTAAGGAATCAACTTCAAAGAAAAGTAAATGGACTGGGGAGTATTTGTTGGTTAAGTGCTTGCTATGGAAGCATGAAGACTTGATTGAGCTCAGAACCCTAGAACCTACAGAAAAGCAGCCATCACAGTGTAATCTCACTGTTCCTACAACAAAAGAAAAGGCAGAGATAGGAGAATCCCTGAAAGTTGTGGGCCAGATAGTCAGGCATATAGAGTAGCAAAGAGCAAGAGACCCTTCTGGAAGCAAGAGGAAAGGTTAGGACTGATGCTCAATGGTATCCTCTCTGGTATGCACATGGCCACATTTATACCTTGAATACACACACACACACACACACACACACACACACACACACGGGAGCAGTGTTAAGAAAAGTACTAAATATAACAAGATGTTCAATACAGCACTACCTAGCAGTACTACCTACTTTACCAAAAATAGAAACAGCCAACATGTCTGTCACAGCACAGTGCTCAGGTATTGAGAAGGAGCAGCAAAGAATGGAGAGAATCAGTGGGGCAGAAAAGGCAGAATGAACAATAGTGGTAGTGTGCTAAGCAAACAATAGACAGTAGAAAAATAGTGCAAGTCTTAAACTTACTGTAAGACGGAAAGGAGAGTTTGCTTTGTGTGTGTATTTGTATGGGTATGCTTCTGGGAATGCCTATGTGTAAGGGGTAAAACACTTGTCAAGTCACATTCAAAGGAAAAAAAAAGGATGAATAACTTACAAATTGGAAGCAGCTCCTGACGCTTGGCTCAATGTTACTGCCCCCAAAGGAGGCAACTTCACCCAACTGTCTTGGGATTTGAATAGAATCATGTAGAAGAAGACCCAGCCTACGCTGGTCACAAAAACCAGTTGAACTTGCCACTTGCTTGAAAAGGTCTATAAAAGAAAGAAGAGAATTGTGAAAATCAAAACACTGGAACAAATGGACATAAGCAGAACCTAATGTCCAGTTCAATGCGAGTACTATTTCTCAGTAATAGCCAATATTCCCAGAGATGCATCTTATTATCTTACTTTTTTATCTTTTTTTTTTTGAGACAGTTTCTTCTTTGTGTGGCTCTGGCTGTCTTGGAACATGCTGTAGACCAGGCTAGCCACAAATGCAATGAGAGTCTCCTGCTCTTGTCTACTAAGCGCTGGAATTAAAGTTGTGCACCACCACAGCCTGCCTTTTATCTTTTTCTTTTTTTGGGGGGGAGGGGGCTGGTGATGGCCTAATGTAACGCAGGCTACCCTTAGACTTTCTATATAGTTGAAGATAGCCTTGAACTTCTTATTCTCCTGGCACCACCTCCTGTGTGCTAAGGTTATAAGCATGTGGCTTTTTACAATTCTAGGGATTGAGCCCATGGTTTTCTCGATGTTATGCTTAAAGAATTAAAGCTAATACAAGCAAATAATATCTATTTGTATAAATTAAGCTAATTATCATTACCTATATATGAAACATAAAAATTTAAATATACTATAGCCCTGAAAAGAAAGTGAGTTTACTTGTATTTTTAAAAATTCATTTGTTTATATGTAGAGTGGGGGACACATATATCATGGCACATGTACGGAAGTGAAAGGAAAACTTGGAGGGGTCAATTCTCTCCTTGTACATTAAAGATCCTGGAGATCAAACTCAGATCACCTGGCACAGGGGTAAGTTCCTTTATCTACTGGCTATCTTGCTGGCTCTACATGTACTTTTAAAAGTTGTATTTTTTTTTTATTTTTTGCTTATGTATGGGCGTATTTAGAGCATGTGGAGGTCAGGGAACAACTTACAGGAATTGTTTTTCCCCCTTCTATCACAGGGATCCTAGGGATGGAATTTACATTATCAGGCTTGGCAGCAAGTATTTTTACACTAAGCCATCTCATCTGCCCCTAAATATATTCCTAACACCTGAATTGGTCAAAGCAAAAAAAAAAATCAATTTAGTAGCTATTATGTTTATATAATGTGAATACTATTACAGAAATTTTATAATCAAGAACCATATAATTAACAAAAACGATGTGAGCATCAGATATTAAAAGATGTAGAAAAATTAGGACTTCCTTACAGAGTCATAAGACCATTAAACTTCATTGAGATTAGGATGTATGCTCACATAGGATGCTGTGCCTATGTGTAATTATACTATCATTGATATTCTAGGTCTGCCTTACTGTTTTTTACTCTTATTTTTTTGGAAGAAAGGATTTTACTAGGTAGTCAAAGATGGTCTTGAACGTGTAAACATCCAGTGAAGACAGGAACACAGGTAGAAACCCATGTCTTTTTATAAAAAAAAAAAAAAAAAAAAGCTAACTTACAATAATTAACTATAATATTCAAAAAGAAAAAGTGTTCAGAAATAGTTTTATCCAAATTAATTTTAAAGGGTTAAAAAGCATTGTTTCACGTTGGGTGAGGGTTTTATTTAGTTCTTAGAAAAGGAAAATTTGTGTGGGAACTATATAAAACTGAGCACTACCATGCTTTGTGTGTATTATGGTTTACTCTACAAAAAGGAGCACTACGACAGTATAGCTTTGGAGAAAAGCATTTCTTTTGTCCTGCCTATATTTACACCCAGCATACCTCTTTCTCTATATATGGCTAGTTCTTAAGAGGAAATCAGAACAGGCTAGATTTGTTCAATTCCTCCTGAAATGATTTCTTACAAGAATTTCAAGGCTACCATACACAGTCCTTTACAGTAAAAATAAATGGTGACTTGGTCATTCAAGCTATCAGTCTTTTAACATTTGATTTATATTTTAGACTTATACTTTTTAAGTAGACACCAGTAGTGAATCAAAAGAAAATTCTAGAGGGTGCTCAGACTAATGCAATTGACACTGGAAGCAGAAGAAAACAGGGAAGAAGATAGGAGCCTACCATAGACGACCTCTGAAAGACTCTACTGATCAAGATTCACAGCTAAACTTTGGGCAGAGTGCAGAAAACCTTATGGAAGAAGTGGGAGATAGAAAGACCTGGAGGGGACAGTAGCTCTACAAAGATATCAACAGTCAAAAAATCTGGGCCAGGAGAGGGGACTGCAGAGACCTATACTCCAATCAAGGACCACGCATGGAGAGGACATAGTACCTCCTGCTCAGATAAAGCCCATGGCAGCTCAGTTTCCAAGCAGGTTGGTTCCCTAGTAAGGGGATCAAGGGCTATCTCTGACATGAACTCAGTGGCCAGCTCTTTGATCAACTCTCTCTGGGGGGAGCAGCCTTGCCAGGCAACAAAGGAAGATGATGTAGTCAGCCCATATGAGACCTGATAGGCTAAGGTCAGATAGAAGGGAGGAGGTCCTCCCCTATCAGTGGGCTAGGAGAGGGGCATAGGGAAAGAAGACGGAGGGTACGTGGAACTGGGAGGAGAAGAAGGTGGAGGGCTACAGGCAGGATACAAAATGAAAAAAATGTAATAATTAATTAGTTAATTAATTAATTAAAAAAGAATAAAATAGAGCTTTCCTTGGTTCAGTTAATATTCTTCCTTGTGAAAATCTACATAAGGATTCAATAAACTTGAAAAACACAAAAACGAGAAAAAAAATAGCAGGCTAGCCATCTCTCCAACAGTAAATGTTCATTATATCACAGAACTGGATTTCTCAGTAAATCTTGCAATAAGATGATTATAAAATAAACCACGTGTTTTGAACATAAATGCCTGATAGTATTCTTTAAGTGGGAATCCAAAAGCATAGGAAATGCAGGGATTAAACCTTCACATTTATTTTCTTGACTTCACAAAGGGGTTAGGAAATCAGACTTTATCCCCTTGGAACATGTTTTATTCAGACACAGTCAATGTAACAAAAAATAATACTGGGACTGGAGAAGCTAATCCTCATTCTCTATTTAAATACCTTCAATTTAATATCTGACAGGAAACAGCACAACCCAAATTTTATGACACTTTAAAAGCAGTTATATCTTATGCAAGAAACCTGCTGTCAAATAATGGAATACAATTTCCCATCTAGAACGAAGATAATTAGGCAACATCAATAAAAGAATAGAGTTAATACACATGACTTACATCTGTACTTGTCTTCCAAGTGTGCTTTACACAGTGAAATGATGCCAGTTTTAAAAGACAGGACACGGATCCTCCCTGTTCGTCCCCTATTACAATGAATCAAACCAGAAAACAATTACTGTCACACGAATAGAGTGTAGATACTCCTAGTTAAGGGGCAAAGGAGCCCTGGATACAGGAACTCTATAGAGCCTTGTTTGATTAAGGTTGTTAAGAATTTTTCTCAGCTCATTTTCTGTCTCCATGACCTACAATGCTATGACTGTTCTCTAACCAACAGAGAGTGATGAATGGAGGTGCCAAAAAGCAGCTCTGTAAAACCTGATTAAAACACAGAACAACAACAGTCTAGCTTGGTTTCAGGAGCTGAATTTTCTGTGTGTAAGCTTATTTTCATTTTGTGTGACTCATCTACTCACAGTCTTCTAAATAACTACATATCTTCTAAGACAATTCTCATAGATAATACGTGTACCAACATTTCCAGGAGCACTATCATTCTTGCCAATGAGAGGAGTCACTCCAAAATGGATGTAGGAACTCCAAAACACAGGTGAGAACAGAACCACAGCTACATGACAACTCATTCTATTTGAAAAAAAAAATGTCTTATCTCAGGTTATGGTTGGATTCTGGCCTGAGAACAGTCTTCATTCCAGCTCTTTTTTTTCCCATTGAGATGGTCTCTCTATATAGATCTGGCTATCCTGAAACTCACTGTGTAGACAAGGCTGGCCTCAAACTCCCAAAGATTCTCTGCATCTTGTATTAAAGGCTGCATTCCAACTCTTACTGCTGGCTTATCAAATGTGTCAAGTCATATGCAGAAATGATTTATCCCACGGAGAAGACCTGCATAGCTTCTAGGACACTACTCTAATGTCAATACTGTCATTACAATGTAACCTATGACCCCTCTTGCCATACGTACGTATCATAAACATTAAGAAGCCAGTTGAGACACATATCCACACATAGAGGGATGTTGACCAAATTGTTGTGCTCTTGCTCCAGACGATCATAAACAGTAGTCAAACAGTTAATGATCTGCAGGATATCCATGGGTTGGTCATTTTGCTTCAGGTTGTGCTGGTCCAAGGCATCACAGGCAGCTGACAGGCTCAAGAGATCCACTGCAAAAAACACACAAAGGCATAAATGACTCAAAACATAAAACTTCTTTCACTCTTTTTTCCTTTGAAAATGCCAGTTGAGTTGTTTCCTATCCTTTAGTTATGAACAAACTAAAATTCCACCTTCTTTTAAAAGTGCTCTATTTTCATCACTCAACTTTTAAGTTGATCCAGTTTTACCAATATTCACAATCTAAAGTTGCTTTCAGATCTCAGTGGTAGTCAGTGAAAACACAAACAAAGATACAACAATACCTTCCCTGGAATATCAGAGAATATTTGAGAGTTAAAAGGACCTGTCTTCTAAGTCAGTAGTCATTTTTAGTTGAGTGAGAAGAAAAAAAAAAAAAGGTGTTGCAGTAGAGATTTTGAAAGAGACACTGACACCCCTTCCTCATATTAGTATTAGAGATCAGTGAGATGAATCTGTATAGTTAGGATTGTATAAACTCAGTTTCTGACTGTGTATTTATAATCAGTCAGCATTTTTCTCCTTGAAATAAACACCTCAACATCTCTTTGTTGCCTTAACACCAGGTGAAAAAATAAGTAAATTCACTATAATTTTCTATAGGAAAACTGTATAATCTAGCTAGACTTCAAGCTGAAGGTTGGTTTATTTCTCTTTTTACCTTCAAATTGCATTTTACAATCTAATATTTTGACACTTATAAGACCCTTTAAGGCTAGGGGATATTCCCTTCATCTGAGGTAGTATTTAGTCATATGCCAAAGAAAAAAATTAACAAAGATAACCTTTTATCAGCAAATTACTAGCTTTGCTCCCAAATGTTTTGAAAAGATGCTTTTATCTAAAGCAATTTATTAGCCAAATTGAAAATGCAACACTGGTACTTTTTAACTACATGATACACCTAAGCTCTGTTCAGAACTGTCAGTACTTTGAGACAAAGAATCAATGATAATTAAGTGCCTCCTTTGCACACCTAAGAGAAAATGCATTGCAATTATAAATATAGCTTAAAATGAAATGCACATAAGCCATTTCACTCTGTAAACAGTTTTCCCCAATAATAGAAAAATGTACACTTGAGACTACAATGTTATTTTATTAGTTACTGGTAGTAAGGTTTAATTAAATATTAAGAAAAAGTACTGGCTAATACCTATATAGGTTAATACTTATGCATGACATACTGTCTGTCATGAAAAACAAAACCAGGATACTCTGTGGAGTTCGCCTAGAAACAAGAAGATCTGATAGCAAGGGTAGAGATAATTTTCATTATTTTTCATTCCCATGAGCAAAACTCTGTGTTCCTGTCTCATGGACCAGTTTCACTAAAATATCCTGGACTAATATCCCTCTTACTTGTTTACATATTTTACTTTTCTACGGATAGACCTCATGATAGCACATATCTCTACTGCAGCCTCTTTGACTGTAAGATACAATCATGTGCTTCTTAATCTCAGAGACAATTTTTGATAAAAAACATCATTGGGCGGTTTAAATATTGAGTATCACAGAATACAAGTACACAAATTAGGAAGTATACGACAATATTGCATATTATGGGATCATTGTTAGTGTCTATCCCAAACATCTTTATACAATGGTCCATTGTACTCTAAAAAGAAATAAATGGCCTTTTTTATGAAATTTGAGACTGTGTAAACTTGGAAGTAGGAAACTGTCAGACTACAAGACACATCTGAAAGTCAAGTGGACAAGATAATGAAAAATAAAAAATAAGAATAATAATGCAAGCTGGCAGGAAGCTATACGAAAAGGGAGGCAAAATTGGGACGACATGGAAGGCAGTAAGGAGGTACAGGGACATAGTTGCAAGATTTTTATCATCTCTTTTTTCTGCTTCACTTCCTGAGACCACAACTGCTCAAGTGCAGGTCATGGAAAACTTCAGAAATGTAGCATTCCTCACTTTGTTTGTTATTGAAATTATGGAGTAAATTTCTTGGATACATCAATATTCCTAACACATTTCTTTATATATTGAAGGGAGCTATTAATTAAGCTTTTCTATTATTTTCTTTTTCGTTACTATATGCTTTGTTATAAATATTTTCCTTTTGATCCAAGGATATAAGAACAGTGAGAGTTTTTACAGTCACATATTATTAAGTGTCTAATGATCCCATGTGATGGTAACAAACAGTCAAATTGCATGAATTTCATTTTATTGGACCTAATGTCGACACAGGTGAATAGGTTGGTAGCATATACAAGAAAAAAAAATACAGTATAAATAGCTCCAGAGAGAAGTGAGAAAATTTTCTCTGAAATAACAGGAGCAGAAGAGGGCAAAGGACAGAAATACTATGTGGTGTTTTCTACTAAAACTGTATGTGGTTAAATACAAGACCAATCCATCACAAAAGACGGAATAACACATTTCTTCAAACAAACATAGCGAATAGGAAAACACAACTTCTATTTAAACAGAGACTATGCAACTAATCAGCAAAGAGCTGATGAAAGATTTGTGGGCAACTGAAATATCACAAACACATACACACACTCAATGTTTAGCTCAAGCTTATTAATGAATGGGAATTGTTGGCTGCTGGAAGAGGGAGAGACAGTTTTCTATGGGTATATCCTTTGTAAGTTGACAAGGAAGGAAGAAAAGAAGAAGGGAGGGAAGGAGGGAGTGAGAGAGGGAAGGAGGGAGGGAAAGAGGGAGGGGAAGGAGGCAAAGGAAGGAAGGAAGGAATGAGGAGGGAGGGAGAAGGTAGGAAGGAAGGAAGGAAGGAAGGAAGGAAGGAAGGAAGGAAGGAAGGAAGGAAGGAAGGAAGGAGCAAATAAGTACAAAACACAAAATGTTGCATGGATAGAAAAAGAATGGATAGACCTGGGAAGATGTGTGAGAAGATAGTAAATATGCTCAAAATAAGTAGAAAACCTGAAACTCTGAAAGAACTATTTTTTTTTATAGAAACATAAAAAATTGGAGCTGGACTAGGAATATGTGGCCAGCTAAAATTTACTTTTAAATAATAAGGTTAACTAATTAAAAAAAAAAAAGGTGTCTCGTCCTAGTATAAGAACAATACTTTGAGGGTATCTAGTTCCTGAAGGAAGTACAAATATGGACAGGTGTCTAGAATTATGGGCAAATAAAACCAGTGATTACTAAATGAGGTAGCCTACAAAGTGCACTCTTTGATATCGCAACTTTAGGACTGAGGATCAACCAGCATTTTCCCTCTTCTGTAACTCATGAACATCAGGAAAACTCACAGGAAGACCTTATTACTTCCTCTGGAAGATACATGGGTGTGTATCTACTTCTTTTTGAGGTACCAATATCTGTAAAGGAACATACTATTAAAAGCATTGCTTGCCATGTCTTCAAGATATTTTAAATTCTCATATAACAGAGATATGCCCTCTAACTTACATAATGTACGTATATAGAAAAAAAATAATAATTCTCCTGTTTCTTGGGAGCCCTTGTTATGAGGCAGTACGTGGCTGAGGATCCATATCCTGCTTTTAATGCTATTGTGTTGTAGCTTTTTCTGGCAATTAGCTGCAAATGTATAAGCCATGTTATTGTGAGTCCTGTGAGTCTTCTTTATCAACCCTCTTTACCTGGCTAATGCCTTATTCAGTCACCTTTACTGCACTCTTAGAAGGTAAGGTCCTTTTCCACATTTTTTTTTCACTTTGTTAGTCTAGGTAAAACAAATCAAGAAGTTTCAGCTTTATTCAGACAACTCTATACTGTACCACATAGTTATAATTTAAGACTTAGTTGCTAAACATAGGCACATTAATCTCAATTTCTAATTGTATAGAAATATTTTTCACTTTTATCAACTGTCATATATTTAGCCCTGTAGTTTGGGCTTTCTCCAACCACCTACATACTAATAAACTAAATATACTTGCTTTGTTAAATGCATTTTTTTCTGCTCTTGAGAGTTGAATATCCTCTTAATTATAGAAGATATACATTTATGGAGTCTCATCAGAACCACGGACAAAAGAAAAAGCTTATATTGTCACCTTCATACTTTCCCCATGCTATCAACCATAAAAACCAATTTACAAATCATTCTTACCAAGATTTTCAACTTATCTCTGCTGTTCTATCAACTTAACTTTTATTCATAATGCACAAACAAGCACTATAAACTCATGCAACATAAAAGTTATTATAAACCAAGGGGCATTATAAGCCAATGGTGATGGCCATAACTGCAATGGAAAAGTTTTGGTTTCTTTATAAAGCCCATTATGTTATGTAAATGTTTTTGCTTTAATCCCATGCATGGTATTTGTATGGCTCATGGCCTCTGACATCTGGTAATGACCTGCTTCATGCTGCACAAACAGCAACGTGGTCTAGAGCTCTGAGGATACAAATATGAGAGCCCAGAAGAAGAAAGTGTGGCCCCTGTGGTGGTGGTGGTGGCAGCATGTGGCAGTTTGGAGAGAGCAGAGACAGATGGGTAGTGGTTTGGAACAGACAGAGGAAAAGAGAAGGTGCTTGTTGATACAGTAGCTTGGAGAGACTGCTGTCTGTGTTTGCTGTTGACAGATACTGGTATAGCCCTCTGAGAAGAACCCATTGGTTCTAAACAGCCAGGAGAAGTAAAGAGGTCTGTGTCCTCTATCACCACTAACCTTCTAACTGTCTGTCTCCTACGTAGGGTTGGGAAGTTGGAAGGGAGAGGATTTAAGGAATCCCAAATAAAATAGTTTAAAAATAAGCACAATACATAAGTAGCATATTCTCTCTAGTAGATAAAATGTGGTTTGGTTTTCTGTGATATTGAACTTTGATAGGAAACTTTAAAAATAAAGATCAGTTGCTTCATAGAGGTGGCTAAGTATGTTTTCCAAGGCATCTGTAATTCAATCTCTCCACTGACATCAAGAAATTACTGAGATAACATCATTAATTTCCATTAATGTAAGACATAGTAGAAGCAGACATTGGTACGAAAAACTAGCCAGGGCAAGTTTCACTTGCTTAAACCAAGGACAATAGCTCTTTATCAGCCTTTTACAGGCAGAGGAAAAAAAAAAAAAAGAACTAGAAGATAAACCTAAGCAAATACAAAATTTAAAGGAAGTTCTTAAATCACCTATTGAAAATTCACTAAGGAATTGGACCACACATGTTTTTCAAAAGTTAATGGATTGTCAAAACTTTTCACTCTGTTCTCACTGAACATGGGGCCAGAGTCTGCATGGTATTATCCAAGCATTCATAAGAATTTAGTTCCTAATTTAGATAAATACTCTAATTTTGCTATCCTTGATTATTTTCAAGTAAGAGTGAAGTTCTGAAAAGAAATGCTGAGAATTTCAAATCTTCTTAAAAGTAAAAATTCAACGAAATCATTTTACCATTCAGAACCTAAATGTATTACAAGGTTATCACTTCAAATGGTTAGCATGTTTTTTTTTTTTTTTTTACAATATCTAACTCCACTTCACCAATGTTTACCAAAATTTTTGACATACAAAGAAATAAAAAAAGACAATGAATAGAACTCTTTTACCATAAAAACTGAATAATGTTCAAATGATTCCCAGGCAGTTATGGAAATGGATTATAGTCATAAGACGTAAGACAAATTTCTACCTAGTCTATTTCTGAGTTTCTGTCACAGTATAACCCGGAACAGCTGGCTACTTCTTTTGAAATTTTGGGATTTCACAGGAATATTCTATAGCACTTTATAATAACCAGTTCATAATTCTCCTTTTTATCAAAGGAAAGCAGTATCTCTGGGATGGGGCAGGGTCAAGAAAAGACAAAAAGACAGAAGACTTTTTCTATTCATCCCCTTGACTCAACCCCACCCCAAACTCCTTTGTGCCTGCTATGATTCATTAACCAGGTCCCCAATGAAATTCTAGGCATGAGGAGCCTTTTATTAAGTACTTAAACTTGGCAGTATACACCTGAAAATGATAACTTCAGGCTATAAGCTTGTAAGGCAATGGAATCTTCCACTGGCATTCATCCATGTATTCATTCTATGAAAACAGAAAATCGTACTCTCTGCCTAGTCCTGTGTTAAGCAATGGAATGCCAATGTGAAAAGAAAAAGAACCTACCTGATCCTTCTCAGTAATTTCACTTCTAGGGCACTTAAATCTTTATGTGACAACCAGACAGCAATAATTCCTTTATTATAGTATCACACACTTTTGAAGACTTTGGGGTTGGATGTCTTTGTTCCCTGAGAACCTTGGTGGCCAAAGGTTTACATTCAGTTCTGTCCCCAATTTGGAGTGATTTTATTATTACTAAAATACATACATAACTCTACTTAACTTATACATAACTCTAACTTCTCAATATCTTAGCTTTCTATTATACTTCCATGAAAATTCACACATAATTCACCTTGTCACCTGTTTAAACAGCCATAGCCTAGACCTAATCACTTAAAATGGTTCCAGTTTGGAAATAGTGCTCAGCAATGTCTCCTTCTTAAACACAACTTCACGGCTTTCAGTTCCTTCACTATCTCTTCCCATCTTACTTTTCTTCTTGATCCCTTTACCTCGTAATTGCCAAATTCTACCTAAATTTGGTTTTTCCACTCAACCTAGCCCTGAAATAAAATATTCTCCTTTTTTTGAGGGATCATTGAGATGGGGTTTCTCTATGTAGCCTTAGTTATCCTTGACTCACTCTGTAGACCAAGCTGTCCTTGAACCCATAGAGATCCGCCTGCCTCTGCTTCCCAGAGTACAGGGATTACAGGCACCACCACGCCTGGTGGTTAGAAATACAATATTCTAACCACCATTTTCCCGAAGCACTCAGGACCCCTTACATAGCTGTCAAATCCCTATTCTAGGACAGAAGTGTGCAGCTTCTGACCACTGGGTACTGCTAAAGAAGAATCACACCACTAGGGACTGTTGCTGTTGCGAATCACTCAGCTGCTTGAATTTCCTTATGATGCTTTTTTAACTTTAGCTTCCCTGTGTTTTCTACAAAGACAAAGGTCAGTGTTATTACCTTATTATTACCTTCCTCTGTTATCTGTGTCACAGTGCTTCTCAAACTCCACACAGAAAACATTTGGCTTCAGATGGGTTTTCATCACCTTCCTGTTGCCAAGTTTCTTGGTTACCTAGAACCCACATGTATCCTTCTCTCTGGCATTGTAGCAGCATGGAATAATCTTTTCTTTTTGTCTGGTTCTAGGCTACCTGCCCATATCTTGCCCATTTTTGTCCTCTCCTCTTAAGCCAGTCATTTTTAATTCCTCAGTCATCTCTAAGTTGTAACAAACCCCTTTTTGTTCTCCATTGTAACTAAAGTTCTCTTAGACCGATGCCAGCCGTCTATACTTTTGGTTTACTTTTAAGTTCCTCAGCGCATTACCTTCACCAAAGTTACTAAAGATATCTCTGTTGCTACATAAAATGGGCATTTTCACCCAACATCATCTGACCATAACAACAGGTCCCTTCTTTCTCTCCATGCATTAGCACTACAACCTCCTGGACTTTCTTATTGAAATTTTAGCCAGCCTTTCTACTCATTTTTCTTGGTTGTTCATCTCTGTTTTAAATGACTTGGCCCCCCTCTCTGTCTATGTCTGTCTGTCTGTCTGTCTGTCTGTCTCTCTCTCTCTCTCTCTCTCTCGCTCTCTCTGTATTGCTGTACTATCTTGTCCTTTCCATATTTGATTCAAGCAGTCAGCAGCTCCATGCTTGTTATTGTTAATACTGCTTTTATAATTCTCCTCAGTACTGTACTTTATATTCACATGGAAGCCCATTCCAAGAACCCTTGAGTTTTTCCTTCCTTGATTTCCCTTCACCCACTATATCAAACAATTACTAAGGATAGATCACAAGTCTAATTCTTATATATTGAAATGATCCTCTATTCTTATTCAGGCCACCATATTGCCAGTTTCAGTTCTGCGAGAGATCTGCTTCCTGTCAGTGGTTTAACCCCCTCAATTCATGTGGGTTTCTCAGCCAGAATTGTTTTATTACGTGAAAATCCAACCATGTCATCCTCTCACCAAAATCTCTTGAATGGCTCCCACTGACCTCTAAAGTCTTTAACTTGGGTTTCAAAAGCTCTTTACAATATGTCTCCTGCTTCCCTTTCCAGATTAATATTTCACAATAGTCCTCCTTGGCATTTTGCAGTTGCCACACTAAAGCAATTTCAGTTCCTGAGTACTTTCTGTTCTCTTTGGTATCCATGCCTCAGAATAATAGCCTTCCTTCCTTTGAATAGAACACTCTTCTTACAGTGAGCTCTACCTACTTTTCTGGAGCTATATGGGTAGCGTTCAAACAGCATGCTATTCTTCTATTGCCACAAAAATAAATGTGACTATCAAATTATCTGATCATCTGTCTGCAGTACCTCAGCCTGCAAATGGAAACAATATTCATTATTTTTACCACTGACGATCATAACTGATGATGATCATAATTGATGAAGATCTTTTATGTACATTTGTTTGTCTCCAGATTTTCACATATGGCTTGGGCATCCCTCATTACATTCTAAATTCCTTTGTGGTAGTGTATATGCTTATCAATTTCAATATGCATAACCTTAATACATATTGACAAACAAATAATCCATAATTCATTTTGTTGATAAAATATCCATGTAACAAAAAATTCCATGTTACATTTCTAAATTTAAACAAAGAAACATGATTTTTAAAAAACAATCTAGCCAGGCATTGTGTTGCTATCTTTAATCCCAATCATTCTGGTCTACAGAGCTACTTCAAAGACAGCCACGGCTACATAGAGAAACGCTGTTTGAAAAAACAAACAAAGAAACAAAAGGATCTAATCATATTTCTTCTATCATTGTATCCATCTGAATATTAACATATAAAAAAAACAAAAGACATCTGTGAACTTGGTTCTGATAATATTGTCATAATCATCTAATCCTAAATGTCCTTTCACAAAGAAAATCGTGGGTGTAAATGCTACTTATTGCAAAACCAAAATTTAGTAATATCTTATCAATTTGACAACAGTTGCTGAACATTTGCAGAGATAGTTCTAATCCAGCAAAATAGTCTAGGTAGATACTAAGCCAAACACTTCAAAGAATGAATTTTATCTGGTAAAATGACATTGTGACTCAGGGTGTAAAGGTAGAGAAAAATCTCCAGGCCTCACTCTTTGAGCAAAGAAAAATTATCGAGGCCTTCAAATACTGACTACTACTTACAGCAAAGGGCCTTCTGCAGTCTTCGGAGCTTCATGGCCGTCCTGTAAGCGGAGAACCTGACATTATTCAGGTCAGCTGAAGAAAAAAGGAGAAAGACAAAGATCATTTGTTACTTCCTCAGAAAGCACAAAGGAAACCCCTGATGGCTTGCCAACAGCTACAAAAATCAAAATAATAGACTAGAAAAAAACCTTGTGCCATGCCCCAAACTTTACAAGGTGAAATTCTGTTCAGTTAGGGTTAAATAAGAAATCTGTTCTGTTCACTTAAGGTTAAGTAAAATTTGTCCAATGTTATGAGAAAAGTGATTTTTCCTTTCCCAGCAGGTATAAGTAACAGTTATTAACCTTTAGCTTGCTGTCTAGGTTTTCATTCGTTTTTCCATTCACTTTTTTTTTTAAATATAACAAAAGCAAATATAATAAGATAAAACAAAAATTATCATGTCAAAGTTAGGGAAGAAAGACCAACAGTGGAAAAACAGGTCAAGAGAAAGCACAGAATCAGAGACCAACTCATTCAGGAATCTCATAAAAGCACTAAACTGAAAGCTGGAATATATACACAGATGACCTGGTGCAGACCTATACAGGGCCTGGACTAGCTGCTTCAGTCTCTGAGAGTTTGTATGAGTTTTTGCTCAGTTTAGAAGGCCTTAGTTTTTGGTTTCCTCCATCCCTTCTGGGTCTTATATGCTTTCTGCCTTCTCTTTCCTGGAGCTCTTTGAACTCTGAGTTGAGGGATTTGATGGAGAATTTTCACTTAGAGCTGTGTGTTCTAAGCTCTCTCTCTCTCTCTCTCTCTCTGTTCTTCTTCTTCTCTCCCTCTCTCTCCATAATGTCTGGTTGTGGGTCTCTGTATGCGTTCCAATCTGCTGCAAAAGGAAGCTTCTCTGATGACTAGCTTTACAGTCTAAGGTGTAATTCTGATGTTCAACATTGAGTAACAACTCAACAATTTAGCCTACTATTTTCTACAGCCACCTGTCTGTAAGTCCTAAAAATCAAGTCATCTAACTGGAGGCTATATATGGACTACGCCCTTATTCAAGTCTGCACAAACCTTAACATAGCCATGTTTCTTTACTAGGGATTTTACGTATGTATGTTTCAGAAACTCAGTTCCAAAAGCTCCTTAAAGAAAAGAACCCTGCCACCTGTACTATTTCTTAGCAGCTTAATACACAACTGCTCCCTGAAAAAGCAGATGCAATATAGCCAAAGAACTGACTGACAGACTGAGTAAATGAACAAAAGGAAGACAGCATAACTAACTGCCACAGACAAATGCTATCCATAACACTACTTCTAGTATACGGGAACAGGAATATTTAAATCTATATCTAAGTCATCTGGATCAACATTATTAACTCTGTGGTCTTTGCAGAAACTAAATATAACAGGCTACATATATTTTTTTAATATTTTTACTATTAATCACAGCTTATTTACTTTGTATCCCAGCCATAGCCCCCTCCATCATTCCCTCCCAATCCCACCTTCCCTCCCTCATCTCCTCTCTGTCCCTTTCCAAGTCCACTGCTAGGGGAGGTCCTCCTCCCCTTCCATCTGACCCTAGCTTATCAGGTATTTTCAAGACTTACTGCAATGTCCTCCTCTGCGGCCTAGCAAGGCTGTTCCTCCCTCGGGGTGCAAGGGGTAAAGGAGCCAATCATTGAGTTCATGTCAGATATAGTTCCTGTTCCTCTTACTTAGGGAAACCCACTTGGATACTGAGCTACCATGGGCTACATCTGAGCGTAGGTTCTAGGTTATATCCATACATGGTCTTTGGTTGGAGAAACAGTCTCATAAAGGACCCCCATGCCCTGATATATGTTTTCCTTGTGGAGCTCCTGTCCTCTCCTGGTCATACAAACTCCCCTTTTTATCATGATTCCCTGCACTCTACCGAAGGTTTGGTTATGAGTCTCAGCACCTGCTTTGATAAGCTGCTAGATAGAGTCATCTCTCCATCCCCATATTAGGAGTTTCTTACAAAATTAAATATACATATGTCTTATGACCCACGTTTATAAATATTAACAAAAAAATACACTTTCACAAAAGACTAGAATGTGTATGTCCACAGCTTTAGTCATAAGATCCCTTAATTGGAAAACAAAATAACAGAATAACAAACAACCTGTAGTAGTCACACGATAGATAGTCACACACAAAAAAAAGGAAAATAATTATTGAAAATTCATGAAAAAGTAAATCTAAAAACCATACTATGTTTACATAAAATTTACATAAATATTTTCCATAAAATTATACAAGTTAAACCTACCTATCAACAAATAGTAACCTAACATAGTGTAGAGGTAGAAAATTTTATTCATAGGAGCCTACAGATATGATCAAGGTGATTACAGCATGTATTTCTATTGGTGTAGTGGTTACATGACTGTATGTTTGCCAAAACTGTACTTACAATGAGAGTGTTTTATGGTATTTAAATTATGCTTTAACATTGTCAATTTTAAGAGTTAAAAAAACCTTCATGTAGTCAGTGCAACATGATGAATTAGAGTGTTAGTTTACACGACACTGGAGAGGTGGTCAGTTGTCTTAATCAGAAATGCATACTCAGGGGTGGCTGGCTAGTAATTAATCAATAAAGCCTCACTTGAGAAGCTGACACTGTAAAGTGTTGCAGCTGTATTTAGCTCCCATTACACCAGAGATTTCATTAATTATATAATTAATGTTAGATAAGCTAGTGTTGTTCTTATTAATGATAAGCAAAATATGAACACTGTTGAAGAAGATTTAGAAATATTACCTGCCTATATATTAACAGGGTCAAAGACCATTTTAGGCATTTTTAGAAATGGTGCCCTACACAGGACTGAACATTCTCTAACTGTGGTTCAGTGGATTCTTGGTTGCCTGAGAGTCCTTACTATGAGATCAATGACTTTTCAAATTTGAATATATCTGGGGGCTAATTTTAAAACATACATTTCGAAAGGCGGGGCAAGATGGCAGCACCGGGAGGACTCTCATTCTGAGGAGCAGCACAGCAGGATTGGCACAGTGACCAGCAATCAGAACTCGCGGCCATAAAACACAAGTGGTTGTGTTTCTCAGGTGAGAGGATACCCCACGGTGGGGGATTCGATCAGCTTTAACTCACCCGGCAAAACCGCGGAAGAGATCCCTGTTCCGCCAGGCGCTTGGTCGCCAGCCCAGAGCTACCCGTCAGCGCGATCTGGTCACGGTCCCAGACTGAACTGTGGGCCCACAACACCATAGACTGGATTTCCCAGTCGAGAGATAACCCCACGGAGCAGGAAACAATTGGGACCGACCCCAGGTTACCCAGACATCCCCTGGAAAAGACTCGGGTTCCGCGGGTGCCCCAGGAGCCAGCCCGGACCCAGAGCCGGGAGGGACAAAGGCACCTGCCTGCACAGAGCCCTGCCTGCGCGCGTGATTCGCTGCCTCAGATAGAACTGTGGGAACCAGGGCAACAGGGCACCAGACTGCGTGTCTCTGGCAGGAGGAAACCCCCAGCGGAGGGGGTCAGCAGCTCTAACGCTTAGGACACCCAGCACCAAAACACTTCCTGGACTCACGCAGACTCTAGTGCAGGCAGAAGCGCTGTGCTCTGCCGCCATTGTTGCGTTCCCCTGGGGCACTGGGACACACAGCTGCATCCTCGGACCTGCAGGAGCCGAAGAGCCATTACAGCAGCCCTCAGATACTGTGCCAGGGATCGGCCAGTTGTCCCTGGCTGGACTGCCAAAACTGTAGGAATCCCTGATCCTTCAGGGGGGCTGCACCCACAGCGTCTGGACCAGAGTGGTGCCTACAGCCGCCATCCCAGACAGAGACACACAGCTTCTGGTCCAGAGTGAGGCACCCAGCCTCCAGACCAGAACAGTGACCCCAGGCGCCAACTCAACCTAGGTGCACATTCTCCAGGTCCAGAGCAGAGCAATCAGCCTTTGGCCCAGAGACTTGCTGAGTGCACCTCCCACTTTCTCAGACAGAACTGTGCGCCCCAGGATAACAGACTGAGTTTCCCTGTTGGGAGAAAACCCCATAGCTAGGGAATCAGCAGTTTCTTCAAGAGGACTGTACATGGAAATTTAGTGAGCAGCAGCACACTAAATTTATAACAAGAAACCCAGCAGTGGGGCAGCTGTCTTGAGAAATTTTATGGGTAAGAGGAGATCCTCCCCTGCCTAACATAGACCACAGCTACTACTCAGGGCTATAAACCTGAGGTGAGCAGTGGCATCTCCGGAGAAACACTGGCCATACAGTGACATAACCAAAAAGCAGAGAAGGACTCCTTCAGGAAAAATCATCTTCCGGCCAAGGGGATACTCCCTACCTCAGGACTCCAGGAAGCACAGAAACTAACAGCCAAAACCTAAATCAGCCCAATGGGTAGAGGTCAGCGTAAAGGCTCAACCAACAGAAGACAGAGCAATATGGCATCTCCAGAACCCAGCCATCCAGGGGCGAACAGCCCTGAACAATGCAGCATAATAGAAAATCAAGAAGATGACCTTACATCTATGTTGATGAAGAGAATAATAGAGGAAACAGATAAAATACGTAAAGAATTAGAGGAAGATAAAACCAAACAGATCATGGCTATCCGTAAAGAAATGGAGGAAGATAAAGACAAGCAAATTAGGGCCATCCGTGAAGAAATACGGGAAGATGCAGCCAAATAGCTTGTGGCCTTCAGAGAATAATTAAATCACTGAAAGAAATCAAAGAGACAGAGTTGAAGGAACTAAAAGAAAAAGAGGAAAATACAAGCAGACAGGTGAAGGAAGAAAACGAAAATAGGAAACAACCTCGGAACCCGCTACAGAGGGCCTCTGAAAGCCAGAAGAAAACAGGAAACAACCTTGAAACCTGCCACAGAGGGCCTCTGAAAGCTTCTGCAGTATAGACTGTCAAAGCAGATGCTGAGCCTGATGGCCAACTGATGGGCAGAGTGAATGGAATTTTATGTAAGAAGTGGGAAATAGTAAGAGCTGGAGGGAACGGGAACTCCACAAGCAGAGCAACAGAACAAGATAATTTGAACACAGGGAACTTCCCAGA